AGTCATTCATTATAAATACAATTTAACACTTCATTAGATGTGGAAGCAGTGATTGGTTGAACTAAATGTGTGCTTTTGTGTTTTTTGGGAAAGCCAGATTGTGTAACCAGGTCAGCGTCCCACACTGATGAATCAATGCATTCTGTTTTTATGTGTATATATATATAATAATGCTGTATCACACGAAGTTGGGACATAGTACCATCTGCTGGTTAGCAGCAACACTGTGCATAAACCATCGTACTGATTGATCACTGTATATGGATGCACTTGATGATAATTTGAGAGTCCTTCAGTATGTAGATTTATAGTTAGAGGTTGGTAGATGGCTATTTATGTCTGGGGTTGAAGGTTAAGTTGCCACCTGAGCCCAAATTCAAGTGCTCACATTCAAATAATTTCCATTAAAAGCCTTTAGGGCATCTGGCCAATGGACGTCTTTGTGTGACCCACATAACCCAGGTCACCTACACACTGTACTGATGCACTGAGGTGAAAACAGTACAATACAGTCACATCCACCCTTCTAAACGCGGGCATTTGCAAGAATCTCTTTCAAGCATTTCACATCAGATCAACACCCCTGCTTTCCCCTCTGGCATGTGGAGAAAGTTTGAAAAGAACATTCAGAACTTGCTTTTAGTAATTTGCATGCCTCTTGGAGCCCGGCTGCTGTCAATCGCTCCGTTCTTCCAGCCATTTGACATTCTGCTTGATGTTGGTGTGTGTGTCTGAGGTGCAGCAGCGACACTTATTGTTCATTATTTCACAGAGAGAGAGAGGGAGGGAGAGGGAGAGAGACGGAGAGAGAGGGTAAGATGGTGTCAGTTTATTAATAGAATGTGTGGGGTTGTGTTGCACACAAACACCTAACAAGCAAAGTGCAGAATTCCCTCAAGTGCTTAATGCCAGCAATTAAGTTTTCGAAAAAGCTGAGCACAGATAGAGTGTGTACTTTGTGTGTACTTCTGACAGTTGCTGTTGCGAGTCAGTCCCACTTTTACAGGTAAAACTGCAATGACCCTGATGCTGTCAAGTTATGTCTTTGGTGTCCTCAGAATGTAATGTGATTGGTTGAGACGTTTAGTAAATATTAACTAACTGGAAAATGGCAGAGTGCCCCTAACACAGGAGAATTTTACCTCTTACAAACACAGTCACAGTTTGCATACCAGTAGTAGAAAGCAACATACATAACTACATTTACTCAAGTACTGTATTTCTGCCATCAGGCACTGTACTGTACATAGAAATGTAAGACACTTTACATAGTATTACTTTGTATTTACTTAGTACTTCCATTTCATGCAAATTTATTCTTCCACCCCACTAAAATTCAGAAGGAAATGTCATACTTTTTTACTCCACTACATTTATTTGACATCTGTAGTAACTAGTTACTTTAAAAATAAAACATTTACAGACATAACACATGATAACATGATGCAATTTTATAGATTAAACCCTTGTGTATAAAAACTTTAAATCATCTCCACTCAACCAACTAAAACAGTAAAATTCAGCTTATACATAAGTGATGATAATAAAGTAACAATATAATTACACACATTGCATTAACCTTTTTTACTGATAATACTTCTGTATTAGCAACTCTTACTTGTAACAAACTTCCTCTATCACTGCTGGTACAAGTTGAAATGCAACAATCTTTTTCTTCTCCCCCATGTAGTTAATACACTGAGGCCTGAGGGGGTAAAAGATTCAGAATTTCATAAGAAAAAAAAACAAACACTATAAAAATATCTGAAAAAAATGTACAAAATAACAAATCCCTTTAGATAAATTGTAGA